CTATCCTACAAGACGGTTACCTTGGTGGCTTTAGCCTCAGGTAGGAGGGTTTCTGAACTCCAGGCTTGCAGTTGTGAACAGCCCTTCCTTATCTTCCAGGAAGATAGGGAGATTTTGAGGACAGTACCGGATTTCTAGCCAAAGGTCCATTCCAATTTTCACGTGAATCAGGATATCGCCTTGCCCGCTCTCAATTCTCAGGGGCCGGACGGGTGTCTCGATTTAGTCAGATGTTTGCACATATATGTGGAACGATGTAGTCCCTGGAGGAAGTCCAACAGGTTGTTTGTTATCCCAGGGGGGGTGAAGAAAGGATTGGCTGCAACAAAAGTCACTTTGAGCCGATGGATTGTTTCCACCATCATAAACGCCTATCAAGCGGCAGGATTATCTCCACCAGAGGGCATCAAGGCTCACTCCACTAGGGCTATGGCTTCTTCATGGGCATCTGCGGCTGGGGTGTCAGCGGACCAGATATGCAGAGCGGCTACATGGGCTTCAAAGTCTACCTTTGTTAAACATTACCGTTTGGACGTCAGAGCTGCGGTTAATGACCAGTTTGGCAGGAGCGTGTTGCTCTCTCGCCATTAAATCACTTAATTTAAAGGAATGTTTCTTTTGGCATGAAATTATAGTTTTTTGGTTCTTTTTTTTCTTTGTTCCCACCCTTCTGTGGCTTGGGTATTCCCCATTTGTCAGCGCTGCCATGGATATGGCCAGGAAAACGGAAAATGTATTCATACTTACCGTAATTTTCTTTTCCTGGTTATACTCCATGGCAGCGCTGGGCTCCTACCCGATGGGACAGTTTTGCTTGGTACTAGACAGGGAACTCAGGTTAAGGAGGGGCTTATATAGGGCAAAGGGGGTTGATCTTTAACCCTTTTTTGTTCCTGTTACCTAGGGGAAATAGGAGCTAACCCATTTGTCAGCGCTGCCATGGAGTATAACCAGGAAAAGAAAATTACGTTATATATATATAGATATACATACACACAGGCAGAATCTTCCTGTGTTTTACAAATCCAAGTGATATAGATAGAATAGTGGGAGCAAATGGTGTAGAGGTAAAACAAAACTGTAACTTGTAAGTTTTATTTTAATAATATAGCAGATAGAACTTTGTCTAGTAATTCTTGACACACCAGGGGTTCATGTACTAAGGGAAATAGGCTGTTCACTGTAGAATTTCCCCTTTGCTTAGTGATTGTGGTGAATTTTTACTTTGCATAAAAAAAATATATATTTTTGCTGATATCTAATGCTTAATAGACAAGTAGATTAACTGTACTTTTGCAATGCAGTGAATTCAACCTGTAGTTAACCGATGCATAGAATAGAATCACATGGTGGAAGCCTCTAGCACAGGTATAAAATAGAGACAGTAAGAGAAAACAAAATGTAATTAGTTTTAACACCTTTTGTTCTCTATCAATCACTGTCTGTTAGTCACTATATGAGAATCACTTTTTCTAAAGCTGTATTATTACCAGCCCACCTTCATGGTGAAGTGCCTCACTGCCAACCTTCAAACTGCAAGGATAAAGTTATTCTACTGTTAAAAGAATATTTTATTAAGAGAATGAAGAATACCTTCTCTTAAATATATATGGATGTGATCAACTTGCATCCATAATCAGTGCGTATGGATGTTTTAAAGGTAAAGAATAGTGAATTTTCAGGGAGCTCACATTTTTACATGCTTGCTTTTCCATTTTTGTTAATTAACTGTAGAGATTTCTAAATTAGCCGCTAGAGGCAAAGCAGATTAGACACTAGTATCACTCTTTCTATCTAAAGTAAAACTATAGCCTTACTGCTAAAAATTGCATGTATTAATTTATTGCAAAAGGGACTCTATGTCTTTTCTCCTATAAAGTTTCCTGCTAACTGCCATCTCCACTTCTGCTAAATGCACACAGCCTTGAATGCGCAGATCGATGTACATTCTCAGCATGACTTTGTGTCAGGATGAGTCAGCTCCAGTAAACAGGCACAGGAATCACATCATCCCATGCCAGCCACCTAAAGATGTGGAACTCAGAATAACACTAAGATGTGGAGCTCCGCATAATAAAATGTCAGCAGGACAAGTGGCTCGGTGGCATTTTATCGCTGGAAGGGAAGTAAGTACAGTGGACTTTAAAGTGATATTAAAGTCAAAAGGTTTTCAAGCTATTTAAAATGCTGATTGAATTACTTACAATGGATACTACTCCAAGTTTAAAAAGTTTAGTCTCCTGCAGAATCAGCTGGTCCCCTGAGCACTGGCTCTGATATCCTGTTTTAGGGTGGCTCCTTTCCCTGGCAGGGTCCTATGATACCACCCATGTGTTTGCTAGTAAGCTGTGTGTGTCTCCACAAACACACAGACACAGCAAAGCAAGCCATTCCTCGCCTCCCTTCTCCATCCTCCCTACCCCCTTCTCTAAGCTAGTAGATAGACAGCTGTGTCCCTTGTGATTTTGCACTGGACAGTAAGTTCAGGGAAGGAAAGCTGAGAGAGCTGGAGCCAGCTTATCAGAAACATGACTGTAAGAGCTTGGGCAAAAATTTAAAGTAACACTTTTGAGATGTGCTGTATAACTTTAAAAAAAAAAAACTAGCTGTATATTTTACTTGTAATGTTACTTGACAAATACAAGACAGTATCTGATATTTTCTGTTTCTAGTTAATGTGGCATGAATGGTAATGCTGAAGAAAAAACAAATTCCAGAAAAGGAATTAGAATAATTCACACTTGTATATGCAGACATTTATTGGCAAAGCTAAGCATATTTATGTTTTTCTGCCATCAGAGCTAAGATTGGATTACCTCTCCAAATTCTGTGTTAGTGTTTCCTGTGTGTCATGATGAATACTAAATACTCCCATTCCTTCCTTGATATCATTAACTTCTGGCTTTATTCAGTGAAGGGTTTTTACTATTATGTGCTAATTCTTAAAGTGAACCTGCGCTTAGCCAATGCAGGGCTTGGAACTTCCTCCACTCCCCCATGTGACAGTACTGGGTGCCTACACAGCCAATCAAAAAGCACCAGTGCGGTCAGGTGTAAGATGAGAGTTAGTCACATGTTCTCAATAGCCAGAAGTACTGGATATCTCTCTTTACAATGGCTTTTGATTGACTGTTATGGATTGCTGCACACATATACATTTTTTTATTTTTGTACTTTAAGTACCTAATGGAGAATGGGTATGTATGCATGTAAACCGTCAGGTTTTTCAAATTAGCTATGGCCTGATGTTCTATAGAACTAATTATGACTGAGTTTGGGTGAGAATTTAAACAGTATGGACCATAACACCACATCAATCCTATCCCTAAAGGATTATTGCCTTGTTGGCCAAGCCAGTGGGACATCACTTCATCATTGTTCTCTCATTGGTAAGAAGAATTCTGCAGAGTTTTGGCCAGCAAAGATGCAGTGCTAACAAGACACTGAGGGGGGAATTTATCAACACTGGAGCAGACAAAATCTGGAGCAGTTGCCCATGACAACCTATCAGCTTCTCTCTTCAGTTTGTTTAGTTAAGATTTGGAAATAAAAGAGAGAAGCTGATTGGTTGCCATGCACAGCTGCTCCAGATTTTGTCTGCTCTAGTTTTGATAAATTCCCCTCTCAGTGTTCTCCAGTGTTGCTGGCACATTTCTACCAGTGACTGGATTGCTAATGTAATATTATCCTTTGTGGTAAATTATTATAATTCTACTATAATTTTGTGGAAATGCTTCTATTATATTTAACCCTTTATTTAGTTTTAGTTAGTGTTCTGGACTTGAAGTTTGATGCTCATGGCCATGTTCAAATGCTATGGAGTATGGCAAAATGACTATATTTGGGTAAGACCACCACAGACTATTCAGGTAATATAAATCTCCGTTTGAATAGCCATGCTTATTTTGCAGGATTCCAAGCGAAAAATGCTTACTTGGAAAGACAGCAAAAAGTTTAGTAACACTTTGTAACTTTTTTTTTTTACTGATTTAAGTACATTAAAGTGGTAAGAGTCCCTGGCTATTCTGATGTATCTTGTTATAACAATTTGTTCTGTTTTACTAAAAGAAAATATTTTTTACAAGCAAGGACTAAACTGATGGTAATGTTGCATAAGAGATAACACAATATATTTAGAAGGCTCAGTCAGTATTTGTTGCATGTGCCATGCAAAAGCATTACAGTGATTCTGAGTTACAACATTCTATTATGACTGCAAATGGCCTGTATGGCTTTAGTATTCATATTTCTGGAGAACGCTGCCTGAACAGAATCTGAAGAGCTCTCCAGCTGATAAAGATTAGAATGGTTCAATGTTGCATTTTTAGTTCACTGTTAAAAAGAATAAACATCAGATTCTACAGAGGGACATCACTGGTTTATAACCAAAGTCTCAGATGGCACAGTTTTGAGCTTGCTGTATTTGAAGTCCTTAAACACTGCACAGATAAGATAATGAAGCAAAAGCCATTTTAATATCCCTTTCCCTCAGTGTGCATGTATGTATATATGGATTTTCATCTAGTTAGAGAGGTAAAAAAATAACGTCTTATAGCAGGGGGCATTTCTGGGCATTACAAGCCAAGTCTCCTGTTAAACTTAACCATAAAATTACTTTTTTTTTTTTTTAGATATAGTTGTCATGCTATTTAAAAATATCAAAATACCTATTAATTTTACATTATAATTTATTGAAGGGGAAATACTACATTGATTAAAAATATATGCAGTATGAGGAGGAAAACAAACCCCAAGTCTTATATTTTTTTATAGTCCTTTATGTTATGATTTTTAACTTTACACTTGGAAAAGTTGCCACCCTTTGAATCACAGTAACGCCCCTTAGCACAGGGGTGTGACTGTGCTGCACCCTTGGGCAGCACAGTAAAACTTCAGTTCCTTTTGGGCTGTACAGTCATATTAAGACACACTATACAACTACTCTAATAGGAAAGCAGAGGGAAGACTATGACAATGGTGGTGGTTAGCACAATGTTTATCTATCTTAAGAGCTATTTATGTGACTTTATTTGGGCTTTAAAGTGCCAGGCTTCTATGGGGTCTGCAATGTATTGTAATCAATTGGTTGGCTGGGTTTAGAATAATGGAAATAAGGGGAATTTCAAACTCTAGAAGTAACTCTGAACTAATAAATTGAAGTGAAGTGAACCTTTGTTCACTTCAAATCTCCAACTGTGTGCAGGAAAAGTTCCTATATTTTAAAATATTTACCTGCACACAGTTGACCATTTGAAGTTCACAGATTTTTTATAAAAGCTGGCTTTTTTTATTCATCGATCGAAATATCACCAAAGAAATCCCACTGTTAGCTTAGAGCACTGTCAATGTACAAGATAATATTGGTTTCATAAAAAAGATACCTGATCTTGGGCAGTGATAGTGAATTTGAGTAACTGAATTATTCATATACTGCCTATATTACTCAGCCTAACAATTGCCACATTAAATATAAGAACTATTGTAAAACACCTAGGATTTTTTAATGAAATAGTATTAAAATATTGCTGCTAAATAAAACAAAAAGTTGCACAGACATTTTGGCTTTTAAACAGTCTCTTTTCAGGACAATGTTCACTTGGCAGGTTGTGGTGTATTGGGAGATCTGCAGAATAAGTAGAATGCTGGATTTTATTAATTACTTGAGTTGATATACATCAGCAGTTTGTGGTTTCTATTCTATTTACAAGAACTCCTTTTTTAAAAAAAGACTGGATTTTAATGGTACCACAATGGAGACAATTGTACAACTGTATTTAATTTTTATGTATAAATATTAAAAAATCACATAAGATTATTAAAATAAAAGGACGTAATCATATATGATATTTATCAAATGAAATTGTCAGATTTCCTTTTGTTTTAATAATCTTTTGTGAATGTAATTGGTCTCAATAAAAATAATATTATTTTTTTACAAGTGTATCCTTTGTGTTGTTAAAATCTGGCCTTCCATTTTGTAAAGAGTCCTTGTACATATACAGATGTGGTATCTTCACCAAACACAAGTTAATTACATCTTGGAGTATTCTATTTGCATATAAATACTACTCATAATCAAATAAGAAGGGTCAGTTTTGTGGAAATGTTTCTATTCTATATTTTAATTTATATAACTTTATCAATTTGTAGTTTTTGATATAAGTGAATGTGTGGTAGGCAAGTTATAATAGAGCAATGTCATAATAAAATGGGATGCTTACTAATCTGATGTAATTTTTTATCTAGGGGTTTTGCAATTAATATAAATTAATGCCTACATAAGGAATACATGTATTTTACACACTTTAGTTACTTTAATATGTCCAGGCACATTAAAGTGCACCTGTGCCAGTGCAATGCATTAATGTATTTCTAAACGCAGTAAAAGAGCTTTAAAACAAGCCTATTATTGTTAAATAATTCATCTTTGCAACAGAGAATCTGAAGTCAAGTTTCAGCCCTTCCGAACCACCACCGGCTGTTTGTGTGCATTAGAAGACTGGCAAGCTACCAAGTTTCTGCTGCCAAAGAAAATAAGTGGAGAAAAGCTGTGATTTCAGTGCCTCAGTTGTGAAATTTTGAAGCTGATTTTCTCTAAAATGCCTACGTCTATGGAGGACAGTGAGGGCGTGTTCTAAAATAATTTTGCTGTTTGTTCAGAATATGTAAATACTTTAGGGGGTTACACTTTAAGCTAGTTTGCTAAAATAACCTTTTTTCTTGCCCCTGGTTTCCTTTGACAGCAGTTCTTGAACCATATTTTTTTTAAGGAGAAACAAAGCTTTCTAAATACTTTGCTATATTAAAGCTAGTTGTGAATGCTTCTTGCTGTATAAAAGTGTACCTTGAAACAGACTGGTGCAGAAAGATTGTGTGCTCGATTAGCTCACTTAACTAAATCTGGCCATTCACTGAGTGAATTTCAGCTATTTCCCAATGAACCGGCTGCTCAGTAAGGTAGCTCTGTTGGAAGGCTTCCATCTGACATCTTTCAATCAGTGGCACACCCTCGCTGCCAGCGTACGGTAGCCTAGTGGGAGATTTGTCCAGCCATGCTGTTTAGTAGGCTGAATGAAATAAATCTAACAGGGTTTATCCACTTTGCAGGTAAATTTTCCCGTAGTTTAGTGAATGAGGGGCAGCTCTGCTGACTTCCATGATCCAATTATATGCAATAGAAAAAACACCTTTTTTTTATTTTCCTTGGTTGGGTATATTTTTCAAGGTGAATTTTTATCACATGGTAAAAAACAAAAACAAAAAAAAAAACACTAGCATCCTGATTGCTATGGGCACATCACCACTTTCCTTTCATCCAGTTATTACACATCTGCTCCAGAAGATAAAAATTAATTTGAAAGATATAATATGGCTTTATAAGTATCCGTAAGTTAGTACTGAAAAAGGTGAACATTACCTAGCTAAATATAAATGTAAATTTGAACTTTTATAAGTTTCCTGAATTGTCATACAATTTAACATCTCTTATACAGTCAGGTTTATTTAACCAAGTAATGCAAAGATAAATGCTAAAATATAAAGTGCAGTGACCCATTATAGCTAATAAGATTTCTTTTTCGGGAAGCTGGATCAGTGAAAGATTAATTGGTTTGGTTAGCCGATTGGTTCCTTTGCATTATTATATGCCTTCGGTCTCCTCTTGAAGAAGGGACCCTGCTTAGTCCTAAAACTTGAACCTCTTTTTGTGAAGGACTTCTTATGAATACCTGATCTCCAAATTTAGGAGTGCTGATGAGGGAGCCTATCTGCATCCTTTCTGATTATTTAAAAAAAAAACTTTAATAAATAGACTTTAGTCAGAATTATACAAGATACTTAACATTAATACATAAATCAAAAAAATAAACAGTTTGTGACTTTGCCTCTGCAGAGTTTAGTAAAGTAAATGTTTTGAGTGGATAGAAGTCCAACTAGCAAAGCTTGATGGGACTAATTTAACATGTCTGTCTTGTCTGTTGTAAGTAACAGGAGGGCAAAATTAGATTGTTTCCAAGTACAACATTGTAATACATGATGCAGGCTTATCCAATATGCAGTTCACAAAGAAACAGTGATGTGCAACTCCCATCAGCTAAAAAGATGTAAGACATTTAAATATATTTAGATAAGTTAAAAAAAGAGGGAATTTTGAAAAACTTAGTGAATAAGCCCAAGCTATGCCTATGTGTTAGGTTGGGGCTTCTTCTCTTACAATGACTTTATCCCAAATATACAGTATGTTTTTACTTTAATGTTAAACATCAATATTGACACCACCAGCACTACAAAATAATAAGCATAACGTTGCAAGCATTCAAGACTAATTACAATCAGTTATCATGCAATTTCCAGACTCAGGGTTCTTTAAAAATCTTTCAGGTAGAAAAAATACCACTGAGCTAATATAGCTATTTCCCTTGCTCAAATGCATGTTTTCAGTTTCAATAAACACAAAATAACAGAAGAAATATCAATCTGTATGCACAGATATTATTTCCCAGTGTCAAAACATACCTTTGACGCCTAAATGTTAAGAATTAGAAAATAAATACAGACTTCTGATGTAGCAAACACACAGTTATTGCAGCTGTTGCAAAACAAGGTAAACTAACAATAAAACAACATCATCATCAAAAAAAATATATAGATATTTACAACACATAATGCAACTGATGTATAAATACTGTTCTTTTCCCAAAACGCTTGTTTTGTCTTTGTTTTGTAACTGTAAACATTATTCATCCAGTTGTTGTGAATGCACTGAAAGGCTCTTTTTCTAAAATAATGTTTGGTCGAAACAGTCTCAATTACCAAAATCCCTGTTCTAAAGAATAGCTGCATGCATTACTGATGTCATTTAAATAAGTACAAATATACTTGCTTTGCATGTTCTTTCATAACCATTACTCCTATGGAACGTTCAATGTTCCCTCTAGGGAAAACATAATTACAATGTTTCCATTGCCATAATGCTGTTTTTAACACTCCAGAAAAGTTTCCTTTAGGCTTTTTTTTATTCTTTTATATAAAAATGTTGCATTTTTGGAAAGGAAAGGGGAATAAAAGGAAAACTTCAATGGGCAATCTTTCATTGTGCTCATGTATGTAGTCACACGGATACTCAGTTGGAAGATCTGTTATTCGGTCCCATTGCATTATTCAAATGTGTTTGTCTTGTCCTATTAGTATGCAAATAATTTACTGTTTGAAAATCTTGGGAAGCTTTCACTCTTTTCATTTTTTTCTGGGCTGACTGCAGCTTTTGTGTTCATCTATTTCTTTAAAACAATCCTCTTTGAGTAGGTCTTATAGTGCTGACACTCTTACAATGTTCCTTTGTGAGTAGTCGGGAGACTCTGATCTACCATCTTGCGCTGGGGTTGTCACTGGCAGCGATGGGATACTTATTACTGCTGTAGTAACATATGGATGCTCACAGTTTAGCTTAATGGTTTCTTCCACTTTGGCATTTAAACTGGAACGGCTGTAAAAGAGGCAAAAAAAGGTAATTTAACCACATTCAACCATAGTTTTTAGAAGCAAAAATCTATTATAATCTAGCAAAGACACACACACACACACACATATTTTATAGTTATTTGCTTAAAATGAATCTGTTAATGGAAGAGCTGCTCAATCATTTATTTTACTCCTATCTCATCCTATATGACACCCCCAGAAAAAAATGTATATAGTTTAGGAAAGGTTAACTCGTGGGAATTTTGTTGTGGATATTTTCCCTAGGGTATTTTTACCTGGGAGAGGAAGGCAAGAGCAGCAATACAAAGACAGTCAGAAGTTCTAAGCCTTCCATACCCATCACTTCCTGTCTGAATGATAGATCCACTTAAATGAGTAATTTGTTTTTTCCCAGTTTTGGATACACACAATCTCCTCTTTATTTAGCAATCCCATTGCTACTCACAGTTTTTGCCCAAGTATTACCTCATCCACTATATTAACAGCAACAACCACTGTACATGCTAAATGCACTTTGCATGTATGCCAGCCCAAGCTGCAATCATAATGGAGTAAGTTGGCACATAGGCATTTTGTTTTGCATGTGTAAAACATTTTTAAAGAATTTGAAATGCAAGGTTTACATTACAGTGTGCCATATGCAGCTGTGTTCCTCTATTGTTCCAATTGCCCTCATACCCTGCAAGACTCTGTTATTGTCTTTGTTGTAGATATTCGTGTTGTTTCAATGGGTTGTTTACTTTTGCTGGTAATTTGAACTTGTTTGTTTAAGGTTACTTACTTTTGTTTTCAGGTATTCACAATAAACTGTCATACTGCAGTATATATGTAATACATGTTCCTTTGTGTAAATATTAATTCTGGTCAGATCTGACTGCAGACTTCCAACAGTAAGAAGATCATTTACTAAAGGCAAAGAGGCTGTTCACTTTGCAAAACAATTTTAACCTTAAAAGGGAATTTCACTTAGCTTAGTGAATGTGCTGAAAATTCACTTTGCACTGCTCCATTTAGTAGTGGTAAAGCCATGTGAATGGCATCCACCCAGCTATATACTGGGGGGAAAATGTATACATCAGCCCCTAAGTGTTCTGACAGCAACATTTTAAACTTGTGTTTATTACTGTTTTTGCATTGATTTATTTTTATTTCTCTATACAAGTCAAAGTAAAGACAGAAACATGCCCCAGACTGGTTTCAAAAGCAAGTTAATTTTCCATGTAGACACCTGCTGCATTTGACATGCTTCTGAGCCTTTACAAATCCCTGTTTCAATAACAAGTTAGCTTTTTTTTGGTTATCAGGTCAAGTACAGCCTTTCTATTCTATTACTGCTAAATCCAGTTAAGATGCAGTCATGACAGTGTGTGTTTACATTGGTAGTGCATGTACATTAAATTAAATTTAAGGCAATATCTAGAATTAGGTTAATAGGTAAGCTGTTTTGTCGATAAATGGCTGTCCAATAAATGCCAGTCCTGGGTGCCATAGGGTGGGGCTAAAGCATGTTTGGTTGCCCACTGTAAAGGAAGTACAATGCTTTTAGATGGAAAGTTCTGCTTTGTCTTTTGTTTTTTATAATTAGTATCACTACCAGTTGTGCAATGTCCCTTAACACATTTTTGCCCTTTTACATATAATGTGGGTTTACATAAAAGAGATACATCCAAGGCTTTAAGTTGTAGACAGCGAATCATCACCTGTTGGTCAAGGGAGTTCTTTCCATATGCTGGATCTGAATAGCGCTGAGCTCTTGAAGGCTTCCATGGTGGCTGCATGTTGTCATATTAGCATTTGGAATGCACAGATTCTTTTTATTCCGTCTAGTACAGCAAAAGCTACCTCCATCACGATGTGACAACATAGAGGGACTGTGATTCCTTGGTTTATTTATAGTAGATACTTCCATGCCGTTATCGTCATAGGTTTGGTCATCCACAAATTCATGATTCTAGACCATAAAAAGAAACATCTATACATTATTTATAGTTCATACACTACGGGACCTTATAATACTATGTGCAAAAAGACTCAACATAATGCAATTTTATCAACAAAGTTTAAAGAACATTAAAAAACTTAAGTGCTCAAAGTTTCTTTTAATCAATGCTGAAGCTCTGGGAGTTGCTATGCTCTACCCTAACACCATACTATTAAAAATGCCATTGTACTGCAACTTGAAATATGTTTCTCAAAGAGCAAATAACATGAGATCAATAGACTTGTTTTTGGGTCCAAGATTTTCCTTGTGTCATTCCAACCTATACATTTAAACATGTGGATGGATAGTCTTCAGTGTGTTCCTGTGTCTGATGTGGGTCTTTTCCACTTTAGTCTCCTTTCCAGAAGCGCGGATTATCTATTTCTTATTTAAACATGTGTTATACAAAATTTAAGGCTAATTTTTTTTCTCCAAATACTTAAATTATCTAGTAAATTTTCTAGATTTAATGAAAAAATAATTAACCTTTCTGCAATATGGTCAACATCTAAATCAAGTGTAAAAGCTTTTTAGTTTAAAACATCAAATTATTCCAGTGGGAGATGGAGAAAACAGAATATATGTTCACCTTTATATTTTCAATCACAGCTATATTATATTATATGCTATCATAGTATAGTTTCTAAAAAGTATATAGATATTAAAAGCTGGGCACACACAAACCCTATGTTGTCACTAAAGTCCCACTCTTCTTTCTGTTATGCTTTAGGAAAATTGCCCATTACACAGTAAGGAAAAAAAAGAACAGTAGAAAAGATGGAAGAAATTAAAATTCTTAGTAAGATCAGTAGCAGTTATTGAAAAGTTCCATATGTAAGGTTGCATATGTGAGTAAATTGTAATGCACCAGTCCATTTTATCACATGTCCCAGCATATTGTAATGCACTTGGTTAACAGAACAGAACATTAACTCAGTGGTCTGTTCCCGCTGACATACCAGAAGCCTATAAATTAGTGATCTGGTTTGATCCTTAAAAAAATTAAAATATTACATGAGTATTTATTGAGGCTGAATTATTAAAGAAGTTGACAATGTTCACAAAATAAATTGTGTGAATTTTGACCAGTTATCCAATCACGTACAGATAAAATAAGTAAACAGGAGTTGGCTTTATACATGATTGGATAATAGAAGTGAAACCTCACAAAATTTATTGTGAGAACATTCTCAACATCTTTAGTAAATCAGCCTTATTATGGCTTTTTAATTAAGCCATTAAGCTACTTTACTTTCAATAAATGAAGGCACAGTAGGGAATATGCTTTGCAAGCGGGATTTTGCCTGTACTGTTGTAATTAACATGTAGATCTACAGGGTACTGAGTTACTGAGAGCTGCAGGGGGTTGCTTGAATGGGTCCCCCACACACACACAGACACACACCCTTTCCCTCATCCCAGCAGCAAGCATCCCCTAATGTGTTGTGTATTTATTGAAAAATGATGTCTCAGAACTTAAAGCAAAAAGGGAAAGTGTACAAAAAAAGGGGAAAAAGTATCGAAAGATGCCATAAATATTATCCTTGGATACCTGTTTTTTTAATATTAACAAAAGCTTTCCATTTTATGATATTTTGTGACTTTTTTTGGACATTTGTACACAGTTGTATGCAGCTGTTTCAGAATATATAGGATGCTAACTGTTAATATATGTGGATTTAAACATGTGACCCATCATATTATTACTATCCTGGTATTGTTAACATGCAATTACAAAGCTTATATCGTTCATTTATGCAATTGTGCTCTTGTGGATGCATATTAATTATATTCAGTTGTATATGTTCTAATTACCTAGAGTTATCATTACCTTCATTTAAATCCAGTTAAGTACAGTAAGTTAATCATTTGTAAGTTGAAGTAATTGGCTGAAACTAGAAACACGCTAATGTGGATGAGAGGTTTTAAAAACGCGTTTTAGCGCCACAAACCCTGCTCACACCTATATAATATGTTATTTCAGACATACAATGAAAAAGTACACACATTTTCTTACATGACAAGATTTAATTATTAGAGCAGCACAGCACAATATACTATTTTTCTTATTGTGGTTGTAAAGACCTGTCTCAGACTATAGAGGACAAATTATGCTATCATTTGGTTATACAATACACTATTGCTCAATAGTTATAGCAACACTGTGTTGAGATTCTGCTTGCAAAACCTTTTTGAGATGATTCAACAACATGCTTACCTGTTTAGCAGCTGTTTAGAACAAAACCAATGTAAAAAATATGATGTATATCATGTAAAATATAAATGCAATTATGAAAAAGATGCAGTGTAAAAGTCACCCTTCTTACCTCTAACTAGTCTTGATGTTGACTATTTCCTTTATAAAAAATGATACTGAACAAAAATGTGTAAATGATGGTATTTCCCATACGTGGCATGATTGTATAATTTCCTCTATCATAACTTCCATAATTTGAATACATGGTTTGGATACCTCAAAAACATCCATATGTACAGTATATTTGGCCTTGGTATACATTCAGCCACACAACAACTGGATTGAATGATAGAACTACTGGTTTATGACCACACTTACCATTATAATTCTTCCCTTCTTAAATAGTGTACCCATCAATCAGTTTGAAAAGTTATACAACATTCTATTATACTTTTTAATTTCACAAATGTCTATTTTAAGAGTTATATAAGGTGTTTCTACTTTAGGACAGAATCCTGTAGGTGTCCTGGTCCACTCCTTACCAGAAACCCCTGGAGATGGGTGTTGAAATGATTGCAGATGGCACCGATAGAATCAATGAGGGAGCAAAGTGTCACCAGCACATAAGGGGCAATTATACATTTTACAACAATGGTCACAGCCAGTGGCTTGAGGGTTCTATGTGGTTTCTTTTCTTTGCCATATTCTAACATCTCTGCAGGTGCTCAATAGCTGTATTATACATATACTATCTGCAAAATCAGTAGTCTGTGTGATTATCAGTAATTAAAAAATTTGAATGAACCTTTTAGGCCTCATTTACACTGATAAGAACCAGCCTGTGCAGATCCGTGCGACGTGCACGGTCATATCGTGCTGCTGCCGGGAAGGACAGGTGCTGCGTGTCATTGTACGCAGCAGCCTGTTCTTCTCTATAGGAGTGCACGGCCTTATGCCACCGTACGTTCACCCAAACTGCACAACCTTGCAGGTGCAGGTGTCCATACTCGTACGCAGGCAGGATGGATCCTGTCTGTGTCCAAGCACGGAAACCCGCACAGATGGCAGTTCGGTTGAGTGTACGACAGCGTACTCCCATAGAGATGAACAGGCTGCTGCGTACAATCACACGCAGCATCTGTCCTTCTTGGGAGCGGCCGGATATGGCCGTGCATGCCTCACGGATCTGTACGGGCCGGTTCTTATGAGTGTGAATGAAGCCTTATACAGCAGTTGCTATTTTTCTTAGTACCCCCTATAACCTAAAGTTTTTCCCCTCTTCCCATCCAGTAGATCCATGATTTCCACTTCCTGTTATAAAGCAACAATGCTGTGCATTCTGCAGTGAACATTGGAATAAGTGTTACTACCTAGGTAGTTTTAGATAAATAAATCCTCTGGTGATTGGGGATTTTTTTACATTTGCTAAACTTCATTCTTCAACACTGCTTAACTACAAATTCATTTTTCCCCCCTAGCAACATATGCATCACTCTCTCCCTCACCCCCCCCCCCAAGAAATTTATACTCTCTTCCACCTTCCCCAGCAGTGTATAATCTTTCCCTAACAAGCAGCATATAAAGTTGTGTAAGGAAAAAAAAGTACACCCTCTTTGAATTTTATGGTTTATGATGTGTTATGTAAAGAAGAAGAATTATATAAATTCTTCTGGTCCCTAGCTGGTCTTAAAATTATGTAAATGCAACCTCAGATTACAATATTTATTTTACAAACATAAAGCCAAAATGGAGACGTTATGTGTGAAAAACTAAGTACACCCTAACTGCTTCCATAGGAATTAAAATTATAGTTAAAACCATAGAATTTAAAGCGGGTGTACTTTCTTTTTCACACAACTGTACATCTGGTCTCCCCCCGCCTTCCCCAAGATATATTATTCTCCTTCCGTGCCTCTTCTCTTCCTTACAGTTGCAGACATTTATTTAGTGCTCAGTAGTATTTTACCAGGTTCTTCTCACTGATTGGTTGAATCCATAGAGGGTGGAACCATACAGCACAAGCAATGAGCACTATGGACCAATGGCTAGTGTCCTTCCAGAAAGCTAATATGTGAAAGCCATAGCTGCCAAATAATCTAAACTGTAATAACTTTTTCTATGTTTGCAAGTATCATGACATGAATTAATATATTTTTTGCATGAAAAGGATATCAAAATATATTCAGCCCAGCTTGTAGTTTACCAATGTTTACATAGTTCTCTTGGTCTGCTCAGTTTTGATTAGACACATGATTTAGAAAGCTAAATAATTTTGGAGAGATGCTTCAAATAAATACTGCAGGATACTGACATAAAATCTTTTCCCCTAGTAATCAGTATTCACTTGCAATAACTATTCCTGATTTCAAGCTGCATAAGTACAAACACATTGCAAATACAATTTTACATTTATAACTGCCAAAAAAAAATCCTGAATGATTCTGAATGCATTGCCTAATTAAATTCACTTAATGTCTTAGTACACAAGACTTGCTAATGTTTGGGAGGGTTGTGTGTTCTGTACATTAGCTCCCAGTGCACTGCTAACCTGAACTGGAAAGACGGCTAACCATAATGCACTCTATACACAAAAAGTATGCAACAGCTGTGAATAGACTGCCATCAACAATGACAAACACCATTAGGTATAATTGCAGAGGGGTGGCACAAAAAAGGCAAAGCATATCTTTGAATTGAAAACAGTTTGAAACACAATGATACAGCTGGGTCTTTATTAGAATGTTATCGAAAAATGCACAAATAGTTTTCAGAC